GTCTACTGTTTTGCTTGTCACTGCACACTGCTGGTTATCCATATCCACGGTGATGCAAACACCCAATGAGTTCAGTGTATCAGTAATGTTTTGTTACACTGTGTCATTTATTCTAAAAGTGGGAAGCACAACTAGCAACAGACCTAAGATTGAACAAATGTGAAGTGTAAGCAGTTTATGATATTTTATCATTATCTATATACGAGTCTGTGTCCATATACTTATTAGATGTGTGAAGGCTGGTTTTTTTGTGTGATGCATAGGTGGAAAACTCTTAATTGAGAAGACTAATTGTCACCACATCTCTGAGCTGATTAATTTAGGAACAAAGCAAGACGGACACATCAAGGAGAGTCTGACTCCAACAGTTTGACTCAGGCAGGCTGCAGAGATAATCATGTGCAGCCAGCATGTAAACGCAATCTGTGGCAGTCAGTTATTGATTTGTGAATAACTGACTATAGGGACAATCTATATTAACTTAAGGTGGCAAATGAGGTCATGCATCGTAGCGATAATCAACCAACCACACCACACAGAACTGCACATCCTGCCTAATCATCTTTACAGCTGTGCAGTAATGAATAGAATAGAAAGCAATAGAATAGAATAGAATCTCACTTACACCCAAACACTCATCATTATGTTTTTAAGCTTTGACGCCACAAACAAAGCATAACCACCTATTGTTACAAATCGTTTCCTCTCAATTTCTTCCGTCTCTGCCTCTAATGCACCTTATCACTTTCTGACTATCTTCATCGCACTCTGTCTCAGTGGATTGTTTTGGTTTTCACAGCACACACACTATCACGCACCTTAGTGGTGCAAAGGTTTGTAGACGCACACGTACACAAATCAAGCACATGGATTAGCATGATCAAACCCTTGAAAAGAGATGGAGCTCTTCACCCAGTGGAGTAGTGTGGTTCTCTAGTGGGACACATTAATACAAACATCAATACACACAGCTTTAACAAAGTAAGACACAGAGTCACATCCTACTCAGATATATGTGCTGATATAGACAGAAATACAAAGATTGATGGCAGATGAGGATATACGGATGTGTGACACTGCTATGAGAAAATGGTTTGTACTCCTGGGTGACCAGGAGAAGCGATGGGGACCGAGGATTTTCATGATCCATTCACACTTTCTGAATGCTAGAATAGAGAGGAACTAGCCAAGGTCAGAGGCAGTATTCGCTATTCAAATTCGGAGTGTTGCTCACCACCCGGAGCAAGAGTCAAGGATTAATTTAGAGATCCATTCGCCACGCCTGTGCAGAGGATAGGCGCAGTAAAACGCAATGAAGAGGAAGAGTCTGAGGAGATGGAAAGACAAGGAGGGAAAAGAGGGAGAAGTGGAAACCAGCGAAGGTGAGAGGGAGAGATGGAACAAAAGTGAAAAGAGTGGGCAAGAAAGTGAGAGAGAGAAAAAAGATGCAGAGAGAAAGAAGTGGCTCTGCTTGTTACGAGTAGCCTGTGGAGAGAGCGAGAGAGAGAAGGGAAGAGCCCATGGTTTGCATAGAAGAGCCTCCTCTTGCCAACACCTGTGCGTGTATGTGTGTGTTTGTTTGCACACTTGTAAGAGAACGGTACACATATGATTCACTGAAAATAAACTTGAGCGGTTGTGTTAAGAGCAAGGAAGAAACGGGTCAGTCAGCACAAAAGTGTGGCTTCTTGATGATGGTTCATGAATGTGAATTCCTGAACTGCATCAACAGAATCCAAAGACTGAAACCGAATGATTTTGGAGATTTCCTGAATTTTCAGTTATCACAAGGAATTTGATATTTTCGATTGAGAGTGAATGCTTCTTTAGCCTTTGGATAGCAGAGGTGTGACAAGTACTCAGAGAGAACAAACTCTGTGAGATATCTGAGAAAAAAATTATCCACCCTCTCTGAGAATATCATTTAACATACATTAACTATCTATATCTATATCTCTATATCTCTTCATTGGGAAAAAATGAATATATATTGAAATATTTAGTCCCAAATCTCCACTTTTTTATGGCACAACAGGATTTCTGATGGTCACATTTCTAAGTCAGTCAGGCTGATTGATTGCACCTTCATACTCCTCCCCTTACTTTATAAGAAAGCAACCTGATGTTTATTCATTGTGCACCATCCCACTCACTCGCTCGGCTTAACAATGGACTGGAACAGATGCAGTGTGTGAAGGAATCTAAGGGTGGGAGGTTGTAGACTATCAATTTTCCAGTGACTGTAGGTGTATTAACTAATCTATTCATTTATGTGGCTCTGTGGTGCAGTGTGTAGAAACAAACTTGGAAATTACATTGTACACTTTTGATTTATGATTAAATATAACTAGAATTTGACTTCAGTTAAATTTTAGCAATTCCCTTTTGGGTGGAGGGTATGGCATCTCGAAATTCATTTTACTCGCGTAACAAACATAAAACTATTGTCAGGTGATGCTTTAAACATTTCAGATTCTGAACCATTTATTTGTTCCTGGAAAACAAATTGATATAATATTGTGAAGACAAGCGGTGCATTGTTGTAAAATACTGTATTGATTTCGTACACAGCACCTAGTTAATAACCCTGGTGGTCGATTTGTTAAAGCTTAATGAGATAAGGAGGTAAAACGGTGCAACACAGTCTCTTGAGAATTTCCCTAAAATAGGATGGATGGACTTTAGAACTGAGTTAACGAGGGAACGTGATATGATGATGCCCTTGAGTGGAAAAACACATATTTTGCGAACAGTTGGATAAATGATAAATAAATTATTTCTTCTTAAAGCTTTCACTTTTCTGCTTTATCAAACTCACCCAATGTCTAGATTCAGCTCACCGAGAGTATCAGTGAAGCTTTATCCCCTCTCAAACACTGGCATAAAAGACACTGCACTCAAACATGCAATCACAAAGACTTGTAAACAAGCGCAGGCACACAACTGACTTAAACTGGGGCTTCTAGAAAACAAATAACTAAATGACTATCATACAAAATACACAGGGACATCTCTCAGTCATATGAGTTGAAAACAAGAACAAGGATCACATTGATCTAACATTCCCTAAACTGTTGGTCAAACTGGCGATGTGACACAAATCAGACTAAAGAAGCAGTTATAACAAACAGTTCTGAACTTTGTGGGAAACAACATTAGTTGATTAGTATAAATTCAACCCAGTCTTGATTGCTGCTCAAACGTGTTAAGGGTTTTAAGCGGAAAAACCTAACACATTTGATAGCAATCAAGAATGGGTGAAAAAATGGGTTAAAAAACAGTCTAAGGTGGTAAATGGCCACTGAAATATCAGTTTACCATTCTTCTCTTGGCGATTTCAAAGATGACCATACTTTAATACTGACTTTTGACCTTTGCTGCTTCAGGAAGTGGACGACTTGTTGTAATTGATGGAACCATGAATGGAACCCCCTCAAGCAGACTTGGGTTACGCAGTACAACAATGATCTGAAAGGTAAGTCCTCCTCTGAGTGACTCACAAAGAAAATTAAGGTTTTGAAGTAGCCTAGTCAAAGTCCAGACTTAAATCCAGTTTCTTAAATCCAAACCTCATACAGAGGTTATCATCAGTGGCTGGATTTCTCTGTAAAGATTTCCTCCCCAGCAATGTGAAAGACTCATTACCATTTATCATAAACACTTGATTGCAGTCATTGTTGCCAAGGGTGGCGCAACCACTTATCATTTTATTTTGTTTAATTTTGTGTAATATTAAAATGTTTTTGATGATCTTACACATGTAGACGTGCAAATATGTAAAATAAATAAATAAATAAAAATAGCCAACAAAGAAAAATGTGTTAAAGCTAACGCTATCCAGAGCTTAGAGCCGCAAGCCAGCAGCCTCGGTATGAGCAAAGGATCAAAGCAGTTAAGAAAAAAATAATGGAGCTGAGTGAAAAAGAGAAAAGGGTGGATGTCCTGTAATCTAGTGAAGTTTTAAACATACTGTAAAATGATGTAAGTACCTGACATGTGATTTTTTTTAAATAAATCTGTTCCATCTTATTTTGTTTGGTAAGGTAAGATTGGTCAGGTAAACTCAAAAGCTCATTTTTGGTATCTCTTTCCAATGGCAGAGCACTTTATTTATACTGTCACTTAAATGCTTTCATTATGCAAATATTATATTGCATTGAGTGGAATTAAATTTTGTGTCCATATGTTGTCACTTACAATTCTTGGAAAGAAAATAGCTTCTGGCAAAAATCGGTATTCCACAGTTGGGGCTCCTCTATGAAAAACCCAGAGAAACCTGCAGCATGTGCAGCAGTTCTGACATATCGCCAACCAGCTGCCCATATAGCCTTGTTAACACTACCTTGCGAGCGCAAACATCGTAAAATCTCTCTCGTAGGCTTCCAGGTCGACAGGGAGTTTGAAGGATTAGATGTCATCCCCTCATGAACAGACAGGGATGGTGAAAGATTAGCTGTCATCTTTCAAAAGATCAGAGAGGACACAAGCACCAACTGTTCCCCTCTGTTCTGAACACAAAGGACCCATATTAAACACTGTCTGCAACAGTTCCCAGACTAATTTTATACTTGTAACAGCCTGCAATATTTTGTGATGGGTTATGTTATCCTTTTACAGATGGGAGTGATGATGTGAATAGAAGAGAATGAAATAAATCAGTCTGGGTAACAACTGCCAACAGAATTAACCACTTGACAGTGCTTCAAAATGCCACACAGCAACGACTTTAGCATTTATCACTGTTTCATTGTCTTGTACAGTGTCTAAAATCAGCACTTTAAAACATCAATTTGAAGAAAAAGACCGCTCGAAGCAAGATATGATACTGTGCGTTTAAAATACGGTTACAGTTTGATCCTTTGAACAACTTCAGGTAGAAAATAAAACAAATATTTATCTAAAATGGTAATGACAGATTAGCTAAAGGGAGCAAAAGGCATGGAGAGAGAGGCATACTGTATGCATTTGTTGTTTAACCAGCTACATAGTTAAGTACTTACATGCATTGGTGACTGCAAAGCTGTTGGCAGTCTCTATGTTGTCCACATGTGGAACCAGGTTAAAGGGAGCTTCCGTAGCATTAGGGCTGGTGTTGTGAAGGAAGATAGCTAGTCGAAAAGCTGTATACTCCTGATCAGTATTCCTAATGAACAATCCACCTAGAAAGAGGGACAAAGAGAGAAGAAGAGAGGCCAAGAAGGTAAGAAACATGATTCAAAAGAAAGGAAGTGAGTTATTGTGAGGCGGAGAGGGGTCGGGTGGGAAAAGTCGCGAAAGACGGAGAGTGACAGGTAGAAGAGTAATGAGGGGAACGAAAGATAAATGGGGAGGGCAGAGAAAAACAGAGGAGGGGAGAAGTGAGGAGATAGCCAAGATCTTCATTAGCTTTGTTATAAAAGGTAATTTGTCTTTTAGCACATTCTCGCTCTCTGTCTCACGCACAAACATGAATACCAACACATTTATGGAGGCTCACACTGCAGACTGCATTGATGAAATCTGAGAAAGACAGAGAGATGGAGAGGAAAGGAGAAGAAAAGAGAAACGACTAAGCTGTCGGGAAAGCCATCAAAGAGATAATGAGTCTGAGAGGACTTAAAAGAAAACAGATCAAAAAGGGTCAGCCAAATAAAGGAGGAGAATATGCCATGAAAAAACACAGCGTAACAGAGAGCAAGCGTTAAAAGTCATTGTTTTTTTTTTAAAAATGAGAGCTTCCCCTCATGCAGTTCAGTGAAAGAGAATGAGAAGAAGAGGTAGGAAGAAACAGAAAAGGTAGCTGTATTGCATAAAACAGGAAAAAAGGCCAAATTAACAAGAAGATAAAACTTATACAGATATGTAGGAAAAGAACTAGAGAGATAGATGGGACTGACAGGTTATTACCTGTACTAGAAAGGAAAGAAAAAAATGGGGGAAAAGCTGTTAAAGGTCATGTAATCTTTTCCATACATTCTCAATGGAAAAGATTCTGTTCTTTAACCTTGAAAAAATATGCTACCTGTAATATAACACCAGTAACTTCTAAAATCAACAGAAGAGATCAAAAATGTTATAGATATGCTAGGTATTTGCCTTCAGTGAGATATAAATGGAACAAAATATGAATTAAATAAGTGGGTGAGACAATGTTTGAAAAGCTCTGAGAGTGACCCACCCACTAAAAAGAGGAGCGTAGGGAGACATGAAGTTTTTCACTGCAGTCTAGTGAAAAACTAAGTACACCCCATGATTCAGCACCTTTAGAAGCAAAAACTTCACTTCAAAAATAACTTTATTATAACTTCATCAGTCTCTCACATCATGATAGAGATATTTTGGCCAACTCTTCTTTGCGTTACTAAAATTCATTGAGGTTTGTTCATGCACACTTCTGTTAATGTTCATCTCAGCATTTCAGTCAGTGTGAGCGCTGAAATTTGACTGTGTCATTCTAACAGCTTGAGTCTTTTCTTTTTCAGCCGTTCTGTTGTAGGTTATTGCTATGCTTGGGATAGTCATCGTCCTGCTGCGTGACTCAATATTAGCTAAGGTTTAGCTGTCGAACAGATGACCTCCCATTTGACTCTAGAACACTTTGGTGTACAGCAGAATTTAAGGACCACTGTGGCTGAAAAACAAGCTCATTGTTCAAAAAGTCTTGTCATTTGTTCAGGTTCAGCTTTGCAAACCTAAGCAATGCTGCCATGTTCTATTTTGAAGAGGCTTTCTCCAGAAAACCCATTCATGACATACTTATTCTATCTTTTCATGAACTTTTCCATTACGCAGTCTAACCATGGTGCAAATTCACTGGGAGGTCCAATCTTTGTGATATTTTGCCAATTAATACCCGAATGCTTCAAAATTGTAAACTGGCAAAAGGTCTCTTTTTCTAGAGGTGCTTAAACTTGCTCATGATGAGATGATCAAATATCTGGCAGCATCTGGCATCTACTTACCTTCCTAATTCCTGTGGAAACATTAAGGGTGTACTTAGTTTTTCACAGGACTGCAAAGAGTGATGTGAAAATGTTTAGGGTTTTTTTTCATATCACCTCATATGCAAAGAATAACCCCTTGTAAACTACACATCAGCAGCCTAAGCTGTGTTAAGATAACATAACATAGCAAAATTATATCAGCTAAAGCACTGAAAAAAATTGATTTTTCACCTGATTCACTCCAACAGATGGATGGCAGCAATGAACCTCCAACCACCAAAGAAGAGAGAAAACCCGTGAGCGAAATGGTCTGTTTGACTGAACCATCTGGAATGTTGTGTTGTAAACTGTTTTAAACGTCAATCACAAATGTACTCGGCAGTCAGAAGACAATAAAATTAAGCCACAACCTAAAGGAGCTTTTAGAGCTATCGAGCAGTCAGTGCTGTTAACAGTCATGGCTTGTGTTAGATACATATTAAAATTGTACTTATGAAAGCAACTCGCAGCCAGTCACTTTCTTGTATCTTTAAAATACTTAGCAAGTACTTGGATAAATCATTTATTTAGTGTCATAACTAAAAAACACACCTGTAGCGCTTACTGGCAAGTAGTCCCTTGTAGGGCATCTATAAGTCCAGGCGGTTTGTTGTTTAGCTATAAGTGCTCAGGATCAGGATCTTGCAATTTATCTTGCAAATATTGCAATTTAACAGGTATTATAAGGCATGAGCGCATCATTGGAGTTTTAACAGGTTTACACGCTGTCCGTTTACCTGTCCGTTTTTTGGATTGATTTGAACATTTTATTTAAATTTGCTCAAATTTTAAATGGTATAGCACACAGCTGTTTAACCAAGCTGCTCAACTTATATAACCCCAAAAAGAGCACGGAGATCATCTTTCCTGATGCTCTTAGTGCAGCCGAGGTCTTAATTTAAGCATAGAGGGGATCGGGCTTTTGCAGTTGCAGCCTCTAGTGGAAAAACCTGCCACTTGATATTTGTATTGCAGTCTATACAGTTTTTTAAATCCCATCTTAAAACTCCCTTTTTCTATTTTGCCGTTTAATTCCAGTTCAGTTGGACTTCCTGTTACTCTTGAGTCCCATTAATGTCTTTTTTATGTTGTGGTGTCGTTTTTGGTTTGTTTTTAGTCACATTTAATTGTATTTATTTGTTTTTATGTTTTGTTTTGTTGTGCTTATTTTACTGAGCTAAGATTTAATCTTGTTTGTTTTGTAAAGCACTAGGTCACCCTTGTTGCTTTGTTCTATTGAAATAAAGATTGACATTGACGTTAAGATAATCACATAAATTAATTCTGCCTAACATTACGACTTGAGGAAAACCAACGTGAATTAGTTTCAACCGAGTCAGGCTCAAGTCAACTGAATTGGATTACACGAGCAGACTGTGAAGCCTTGACATTGCTTTGCGAGAGAGAGAGGAGAAGAGGGGTTGAGAAAGGAATGACAGGGGAGGAGTTGGGAGGCAGAGCATATTGAACAAAGCAATTATCACTACATAACATGTCACTTATCCATGTGGCTGCATGTGTCCCTTTAATACATCAGCTTCACTCTGATTTCTAGTGTTTCTTCTACAAAGCCCAGAGAAATCATCTCCAAATATCAAGACACACGTCTGTACACATACACAGAGAAGACCTTACAGCTGGAGCATGTGTGGGAACTGCGCAAATTTCACAAGAAATAATTTTGTGCAAACATTACAATTTCGTCCAAAACTGAATTGTTGTATGGCTTATGATTAGAAATTCCAAGTGGCTTGTTCAAAAATGAAAATATATTTTAGTTTTAGGGTAAAATATCCTCTGAGAGAACACACACACACGCACACACATACAAACACACTTAACACGTACTGAAACTAGATGAGGACGTCATTGCAGTAGTTTGTCAAATAATTTTTTCTACATATTCACATCTTTATCCTTCTTTGTCTCACACTCTCTTTTTCAAACACACGTATGTGAAAAAAAATTGTCTGTGCATCCAATGGCATTACACTTGTGTGCAATGCAGAGATATGCAAATGACTTCTCAAGTCAGCCCGAGAGCCAAGTGGATGATCATGTATGTATATTGGAGTGTTTTAAGGAGGCTGGCCAGAAGGAGGGAAGAAAAGACTGCATGTGTGTGCTTTAGCATGATCGTGCATGCTTCATGCAGCATGTAGACATGTGCAAGCATGTTCACTGTGAGCATGTGTTGTTGAATGTTTAGATGCGTGCTTGACATTTGTAACTACTCAAATGCGCAGAATACACCAGGTGTGCATTACTCTAACTGTATGTGGACAGTGTATGTGTGCACATCCATGCTTGAATATCAGTGCAAATGTGTGTATGTGTGTATGCGTGTACCTGTGTGTATAAAATCAGGAAATATTTAGCGCATTAAGTTTATTGGCAGCTGTAGAGAGACAGAGTCAAGGAGGCGAATCTCATTATAGGACCTCCCAGCTGCCCCCCACAAGGAGTGATGCAGTGCATTCATTATCACACACATGCCTGGCTGGATGTGTGTATGTTTGTGCGTGAAGCAAAGAAGGGGAGGAAGAGATTCTGAGCATGTGTGGTGGTTCATATGAGTAAACCCATGATTCAGATGCAGTTAACTTCATCTCAGATCTATTAGATGGCTTGAAATACAGGC